TCTAATAATTTCTACATTGGCACGAATTCCACCAAGGAATGATCTGGCTTCTTCAACAATAATCAAAAAATTAATTTCTCTAACAAAACACAATACTTCACCTCTTCCAATGAATCCAAGTACTACTCTACAGAATTACCTCAGATTTCCAAAAAAATCATAATAATTTTAAATTAATCAAAATGAGTTGTAACACACCCCAAAGTAGAATCAAACCCAAATTGTTTTAGAGAAGATCAATTGCTAGATTGTACACATTTTACTCTACTTAAAGCATGCTCAATAAAATTAGTATCTACATACCCTTTTTCATGGGATCCATCCCTAACAATTGAATACAATGACACATTAGGTGATGGTGGCAAAGCGGCATTATCCATATCTCCTGAACTTCACTAAACCGTATTCTTCAAATCTGACCCTTTATGAGCTCTTAAAGGTATTGTACCAAACTGAATGTCCATCACAATCCTGAATTTGTACTGATTGACTTTTCTAAATTTTGCACGACCCTGCAAGATGTATAACTAAGATCTTTTCTATCACTCAAATACAACTTGGGCACCCTTATAAATTTTCAAAACTCCACCTCCACCAAAGAGCTCATAACCTTTTGAATCAAGAATAGACAGCGAGATGAGATTTTTCTTCAAATTTGAAATATATCGAACATGGTCAAATGTTCTAATTGTTCCATTTAAAAGTTTCAATCTGACTATACTAATTCCAGCAACTCGACAAGATACGTTGTTTCCCATAACCACGACACATTTGAAAACAGTTTCATATGTAGCAAACAAGTCCTTATTAGGACACATATGAAACACACACGCTGAATTAAGAATTTAATCATCTTCCGATTTAGACTCAATGTCAGAANTTGAATCAAGAATCCAATCATCTTCCGGTTTAGACTCAATGTCAGAAATAGCTAAGAGTTCTTCATCACTTACAACGTTCTCTGCGAGGTCTGTTTCGCCTGAAGTATCTGAATATCTACTTGCAGCCATCCTTTCTTTATTCTGCAATTTGTAGCAATCCTTCTTTAAGTGCCCCTTCTTCTTGTAGTAGTTACAAATTTGATTACTGAACTTAGATTCAATCTGCCCCTTCCAGAAGCACCATGAACAACTAAGCATTCTCCATCTCTGGCCTCAGAAAGCAGATGATTCATCTTCTCTTTTGAATACCAAGCATCATACACTTCCTCTATGGTGAAAGTATCACGACTATATAAGATCGTGTCTCTAAATAAAGAGAATGAAGTGGACAACGAGCACAATAGGATCAAGGCCAAATCTTCTTCATCATACTCTACTTCCAAAGTTTCAAAATCAGTAACGATCTCCTTAAATATAGCCAGGTCATCTTCCAATGATCCTCTTTTTGCCATTCGATGAGAGTATACATATTGTTTGAGGTTCAACTTGCTTGTTAGACTTTTAGTCATGTACAATTGCTTCAATCTCAACCATAAAGCAGCTGTTGAATTCTTCTTCAAAACATCCTGAAGAATAGTATTTGATAAATGAAGATGAATGTGAGAAACTATCTTCTTATCCTTCAGTAATTTTTCCTTCGTTATCAAAGTTGAGGGCATCTTGTCAATTTCCAGCAACGCATCATCCAAATCCAATTGTGCGAGTACTGAACGCATCTTAACCTGCCATAGAGAAAATCTAGTGCTCCAATCCAAAAATGGAATGTCACACTTCATGAAAGCCATCACGAATAAAAAATCTTGAACAAATCAAACATTGCGCTCTTGCGGAATTGCTAAACCTGGCGCTCTGATACCAATTGTTGTGAAACAAACCAACGGATTGAAATGTTGAAGTTATATGGCAAATAATAATGAAGTATATGATCAAGCAAAAGAATAATGAAGACAAGAATATGTCAGAGGAATTAAGAGATTTTATTGACTCAAGAATAATGGAGAAGAGAGAAAAATTACAATAGATCCTATAATTTTAGTAATCTAATTTATCACACCATAAAATTGTATAGAAGANGAGGAATTAAAAGATTTTATTGACTCAAGAATAATGGAGAAGAGAGAAAATTACAATGGATCCTATAATTCTAGTAATATATTTTCTCACATTATAAAATTGTATAGAAGAGCCTAGTATTTATAAGGAACATATAGGGAATGTTCAAACCCTACTAGTAGAGTTGTTGATGAAGTAAGATACCAAAAAATCGGGTCCAAAACAAATTACAACTCCTAATAGACTTCCAAAATAAAACTTCAACTTGACATAGGACTCCATAGCATTCCCAGCTGAATTCTTCAATTATTTCAACAAGAAATTTGAGTCACACCTAAATTCTAACACTTACTTTCCGCTTTAGGAGAGCCTGACCCATCTTACCCCCTCACGACTTTCGACGCGTCACCCAGATTTTGAACCCAAGACCTCCATCATATGGGATACTTAAGTTGCACGTTTTTTTTGTAATAACCCAACCTCGCTCCGGAGCCGTATGGAGGTCTTGGGTTCGAATCTTGGGAGACGATCAAAAAGCGTGAGGGGGTAAGATGGGCCTAGACTCTCCCAAAATGGACAGTATCTATGATATGATAACGGCTCCAACGTGAGATCTGGTCGTTAGTTTTCTAACGTGTTCCCCATTATTCGAACCCAAGATCTCCATCATATGGGAGACTTAATGACATGACCCGTCCTGAATTACCCTATGGATCCGAAATGTGATGTGCGCCGATGGTAGATGTTGACTAGGTGTCAGATCCACCACCAAGGCTGACTATAAGTTACTACAGTATTTACGCCAAAACCAAATATTTTATGCAGAATATAATGCAATGGCCCAAAATAATTTTTTCATGCTCTACCAAAACGAATCACATCGTGTGGCTACAACTCTGAAATCATCAGGCTCCTCAAGCTATCCACAATCAATACCACCTATAAGGAAAATTTGTTGAAAAATATATGAGCTGATAGCCCAGTGAGTAGAAAAACTCCAAAATAATTATATTTTACTTTTACTCCAAAATCATTTGACAGTTCACATTATAACGACATACAATAGTAATCAAGATGTGAGAAACCTCATAACGTTGAAAAATATCATCAATGTAAACTCAAAATATTTTCATTTGAAACTTTTTTTTTTTTTGGGCCCTTGACACACATACTAGGTACCAGATAGAACTCTGCGTAACGTCAACATCAGTAACCAATAATTAATCAGGCATAGTCGAGTGGCCCATCATCCTGTGATTATCAGAGGTACATCTCCTCACAGCTTCCATAATCATCCAAGAAGAATCCCACCTGAAATGCCCGTAATCACAATATCAAAATCGAGTGGACCATCCTCCTGTGATCAC